TTTTTGAAATAAAAGCAGTCATACCACACCACCTACTGTCTGAATGAAGAAAAGCAGGTAAACTCACCAACCGCTATTCCAGCAGGGCCCAGCACCAGTCCTCCTAACAATGCAGAACCCCCAGCTATCATAGCCCCTTTCAAAGAATTCTTCATCGCTGTCTTTATGGCCCAATTGGTAGAAAGCTTGCAGCACAGCTGCATGACGTCATCGACACATGGAGGCATCCTGTCAGATTTCTAAAAATGATGTACAGCTCAGTCAGGCAGCGACAATAAAACAACCATTTGAACAAAAACAATAACAAACCTTAGCAGTCTGTATTTCTAAAATAGGGTGATGGGGGTATGGCAAGCCATTTTAACATTTAATCAAGTCACACTCCTATCCGTAATTACATTTTAGATATACACAGTATCATTTATCCTAGTCAAAATGATATTCTTACTAGTCAGAATGGCAATTACAGATATTCACAATTGCATTCTTATACTAGTAGAAAATGTATTTCAAGATATCTAAAACTTTGCTTCTCCTAGTCACAATTTTTACAAAGTATAAGTATCCCACACGAGGTTAACGAGGGGGCGTGGCACACGGAAGGTGAAGACGATCAGGGCAGGACAGCGGTAATGTTGGGATAAGATCTTTATCGTTTTGGAAGCCATTAAGAAAAAAATGCTCGTCTTGTTTTATCCTGTTTATTTTGTGTTTAAATGCTAAAAAAAAACATTTAGGTGTAATTTTGGGGGGCGGGGAACCAATTAATTGGATTTCCATTATTTCTTATGGGAAAAATTCGATCAGAACTCGAACTTTTTAGGATTCAATCCGGAGTCCGGAACTGATTAAGTTCGAGAACCGAGGTACCACTGTATCCACAATGACATTCTTCCTATCCACAATTGTCATTTCATATATCCACAACGTCATTCTTCCTAGGAGAAATTACGTCACTTTTGCCATTCATGTCTATTGGGCTTTCAATTTCAGGTATCCACAATTATATTTCAGATATCCAGAATGTTCATTCTGGGTATCTGCAATTCGATCCTTACTAGGAAAAACTCCCATTTCAGATATCTACAATCCAGTTGTTACTAGTCATAATTTTAATTTCAGATAACCGAAAGGATACAATTTGTGGATATCTGAAATGCTCTTTTTGACTAGGAAGAATTGAATTAGAGATATCTGCAATACATATCCAATCTCGCGATTAAATGTCAAAACGGTTTGCCATATGGGGGTGTCATACAATACAGCAAGCAGCTACTATGACATACAACCTCGGAAAGTTGAGGAAACATGCCCCCCCGTCAACTCCCGTTTGACATTTTACAGTTTGTATCTCTAACAAAGTTTCAAGTTTAAAAAATATTTATTTCAGAATACATACTTCAAAACCCTAACCCTATTTTTACACTGCGTAGTGATTTAAAGGATGTTGGCACATGTAGGCTCCTTGGCCGGGTTTGTAACTGTGGAGATCACATCAGTAACATCACGAGTAACATCAAGCATCATCTATCGGTTAACTTTAACAAATCCGCGGCGCCACAATAATTAGACCCTATACCTACTGTAGACTATTTACTTTCGGTATTCATTATAAAAAGCAAACTGTCTGCTTTTTGATATTAAACCATGCCTACAGTTTGTATTAATCAGGCAAATAACCCTCAATTTAATGAAACAATAGCTGTTCAGAAAACTTTGCCTACCGAAAGTCTTTTTCCTGTGTAAATAAACAGATTTTCTGCCGGTATTTTAGGTCTTACTTTCACACTGGAGTCAAAGAACCACAAACCTTCCGGAGACACTGTCATTAACACACTTCCTGCGTCGTGCTGTGAATGGAATAAAAATTTCAAAACGTCATACATTATACAAATGTTATTGTCATGACCCGATCCGTGTGCCACACCCCCTCGTTAAACCCCGCGTGGAATCCCCGTCTTTACCAGCTGTTTCTTGTTGCTATCATTAGTCCAATGTATTTAAGTCTTAAGGTACGTTTTCCCCAGTCCCGTCATTAACGTTATGTTGTTAAATCCCGTGCTTACCCGACTCCTGCGCCCGATTCCCCGGTCCATGAGCAAGTGTACAGTTATACAGTTGATCATGTATTTTTTTTTCGGACAAACTCCAATGTCCCACGTGCTGATATAGATTTCAACTTGTGACCATTTTTTTTAAATATACTTGGCTGGTAATTGCCTGTGTGGGGTTTATATTTCAATATATGGACATGTTTCACTCACTTACTCCTTATACTATCTTTTCACCCATTCCCAAATAAACTCTTTCCTCATATATAGCCTACTTGTTTGTCCAAAACAGGGACGGATTACGGACTGGGCCAGCGGGGCCGCTGCCCAGGGGCCCTTGGGGTGCAGGGGGCCCGTGGGGCCCCTA